TAAATATAAATATAAATATAAATATAAATATAAATATAAATATAAATATAAATATAAATATAAAAATAAAAATAAAAATAAAAATAAAAATAAAAATAATTTAATTAAAATTTTACACGGATGAATTCCGGCTCTGATGTGGTGCCGATGACGAGCAGCTTGGCTCCGTCGCGTGGCGGCTGTTTCTTCACCAACACCAGCAGAGCCTGAAGAGCTGGGTTTGAGAATCTAAATACAAAACAAAATATAAAAATAAATTAAATTAAAATAAAATAAAATAAAAATAAATAAAATACAAAAAACAAAAAAGAAAAGTATAAGCAAACAGCGCAATTCAAATGAAAATACAAAACACAAAACGCAAATAAAGATACAAAACACACATAAAACACAAACAAGAAAAGACAGCACAAAGTAAAAACACAAAAGAATAAAAAAACCACAGATACTGAACAGAGAAATACGAGGAGAAGCTTAAACAGAAACGGGAATAGACGCAACATCAGCAACAGAAGCAGAAACAGAAACAGCAACACCAAGAACAGCAGAAACAGCAGAAACAGCATCAGCAGCAGCCGTATCAGCAGCATCAGCAACAGCAGCAGGAACAGCAACAGTATCGTCATCATCATAATCACTATCAACACCATCATCATCAGCAGCAGCAGCAGCATCAGCAGCATCACCATCATCATCATCATCACCAGCATCACCACCATCACCAGCATCAGCAGCACCAGCAGCATCAGCAGCATCACCACCATCACCAGCATCAGCAGCAACATAACCATCACCATCATCATCAGCAGCAGCAGCAGCAGCATCAGCAGCATCAGCAGCAGCAGCAGCATCACTACCACCATCATCAGCACAACAACCATCATCATCATCAGCAGAAAAATTATAATATTATCATCACCAGCATCACGCGCACCATCACCATCAGCAGCACAACAAAATAAAAAAGCAAAAACAGGAGAAAAAATAAAAATAAAATTTATGTTGTGTAGGTTACCTGGGTCCAATAGGAGTGAAATCTACGAGTCTTTCAATATCATCGAGTATAATAAGAGAGAGGTTAGATTTATATGCATCCTGAAATGTTTTATGTAATAGATTAACTCTTGCATTTTCATGTAAACCAACCCAATTCTCAGCAGAAACAAGTTTAGTAAAAGGAAAAGAAAGAAGTTTAGCGACAGAAGCAGCCAGTGCAGTGGTGCCGCATCCCGGTACCCCTTGAAGCAACAACGAAAGAATTTGTGTATGATTACTATCTCTAGCTTGACCCCCAAGAGTAATACATGTTTGTTGTAATCTTTTACAAGTATTACTGAAACATATTATTCCATTTTGTATACAACGAGATAAAATTTCTTCGTGGGAGCCAAATGCAGGTTTCACCTCTTCTAGTGCAGACTCAAAATCCTGCATAGTAATACGAATAGCTGATGCAT